CAAATACGAGGTGCATCACAATATACCGTTTAAGATCCTGAACCTGTGGGCAACACCAACATTGGTGCCGTAGTCAAAACAGTCTTGAGCTTCTGAAAGCTCCCCTAACACTCGTTTGACCATCTGAACGGGGCACCCTTCTGGGTCAACCTGGTCAACGGGGCTGCTATAGATGAGAACCCCTCCACAAATTGACGGTAATAACCCACCAATTCCAATAAACTCTGGATCTTCATAGCTGAAGTAAGTCTAGGCCATTCTGAACTGCCTCAATCTTCTTAGGATCCACCTGAATATCCTCTGCTGACGCAGCGTGCCCCAAGAAAGTGACTGAGCTTAACTAAAACTCGCATTCTGAAAAATTAGCATATAACTGGCTGTCTTTCAGAGTCGGAAGTACGAATCGAAGATGTTGCTCGTGCTCCTCTCGACTGCGGGAGTAGACCAAGATATCATCAATAAATACAATCACAAAGGAATCCAGATAGGGCTTGAACACCGGTTCATCAAATCCATAAATGCTGCTAGAGCATTTGATAGCCCAGATGACATCACTAGAAACTCATAATGCCCATATCGAGTCCGAAAAGCTATCTTAAGGACATCGGATGCCCTAATCCTCAACTGATGGTAGACAGACCTCAAATGGCACCCTGAAGCTGATCAAATAAGTCATCGATCCTCGGCAATGGATACTTGTTTTTGATGGTGACTTTGTTCAACTACCGATAGTCTATGCACATCCTCATCGATCCATCTTTCTTCTTCACCAACAACACGAGCGCGCCCCGGGGCTAGACACTATGTCTAATGAAGCCCTTATCAAGCAAATCTTGCAATTGATCCTTCAATTCTTTCAACTCCAGTGGGGCCATACGGTATGGCGGAATAAAAATGGGCTGAGTGCCCTGGGCCAAATCAATACAAAAGTCAATGTCCCTGTCGGGTGGCATCCCTGGTAGGTTTGCAGGAAACACCTATGGAAACTCACGAACAACTGGTAATGAATCCATGGAAGGAACCTCTGCACTAGAATCGCGGACATAAGCCAAATAAGTTAGACACCTCTTCTCGACCATACGCCGAGCCTTCATGTAAGATATTACCCTACTGGTAGAATGGCCAGGAGTCCCACTCCACTCTAATCAAGGCAACCCCAGTAAGGCTAAGGTCACTGTCTTGGCGTGACAATCCAATATAGCACGATAAGGTGACAACCAATCCATACCCAAAATGACATAAAAGTCAACCATATCGAGAAGTAGAAGACCTACACTAGTCTCAAGACTCCAAATGGTAACCACACACGAGCGATAAACACGATCTACAACAATAGCATGTCCCACAGGTGTGGACACATACACATGAGCACTCAAAGAATCGCGAGGCACAACCAAATATAAAGCAAAATAGGATGACACGTAGGAATAAGTAGAACCCAGATCAAATAAAACAGAAGCATCTCTACTGCAAACTGAAACAGTACCTCTGATAACAGCGTCAGATGACTCAGCCTCAGGCCTGGCTGGAAAAGCATAGCATTGGGGCTTGGCCCCACCACTCTGAACTACATCTCTAGGACTGGCCTTAGCTGGCTGGCCTACAACTCTAGCGTCCTAACCTCCACCTCCAATGGCCTGACCTCCACCTCTAGCTGCCTAACCCCCACCTCTAGTTGGCTGAGGGGGCGGTGAAGCTCTTCACATTTCTACTATTATCGCAAATGCGATGAATGGTTCGCAAATGCTAACTATGATCTCCGCAAACACGACCATTCGATCGCACTTGTGATCACTGCCTCCCCCAGTCCCCTTCAAAAATGCAATGTACTATCCGCAAATGCCAATGTTAGGTGCCCAGCTACTCTTCGCAATTGCGATGAGTTGCTCGCAAATGCAAACCTATCAGAGGTCGCAAATGCGAAGCCTGACCTTGCAATTGCGAGATCTGAGGCCTGCACCAGACCTGCAACACACCAACAATGTTCTAAGTCCAAATTTCACTCTGTAGCCTATCCGAAACTCACCTGAGACCTCGGGTCTCCAAACCAAACATGCACACAAGTCTAAAAATATCATATGAAGTTGCTCGCGCGATCAAATCGCCAAAATAATACCTAGAACTATGAATTGAACACCAAATCAAATGAAATTTTTATGAAAACGTTGAAACTTCTATTTTCACAACCGGGCCAGATCATGTCAAAGCAACTCTATTTCTCACCAAATTTGACAGACAAGTGATAAATATAGTATTGTACCTTTACGGGGTTCCGAAACCAAAATACGGACCCGATATCCAAAAAAGTCAACCAGTGGTCAAACATTTCAAATTCATTAAGCCTTTAACTTTCAAATTTTAACAAAGTCTGATAACTCGGGCTAGGGACTTCCGAATTCGATTCCGGGCATACGTCCAAGTCCCAAATCACGATGCGGACCCACAGGGACCGTCAAAACACAAATCCGGGTCCGTATGCTCAAAACATTGACCGAAGTCAACTCAAATGAATTTTAAGGCAAGATTTACATATTTTTTCAGTTTTTAATAAAG